AACCCCCACCCCCTCCCTCCCTCCTCCCTCCCTCCCTCCTCCCTTCATATTCACTGCTTCATTTTGACACCTTCTCGCATGTTCATTTCTGGTTCCCAGGTCATCATCGCCGATCCATCCAAACTCGAAGAACAAGTGCTTGCTGCTTGTGCCGCTGCTGCTGCTGCCTCCGTTACCTGATCAGATTTTCATCTTTCTTCTTGATCCTCTTTCATCCTTCTCCGTATTCCTTTCCCCTCATTTGTCTTCCAGGTCATGCATGGTCAACTGGTGATCATCGCAGGTAGCTCCTCCTCCCCTTCCTCCTCCCCTTCCTCCTCTCCCTCCTCTTTATCCTTCTCCTCCTTGTCCTCGTCCTCCTTCTATCCTCTATGCCCTCTGGTATCTCTTCTTCCTCTCCTCCTCCGCCCCTCTCCCCATTCTTCCCGCAGAGTCATTCTCCCTGTGCAGGCAGCAAAGATCGGTCGATGCTGTATGGCATCTCCAAGACTGGAGGAGCTCCCCTTCCTCCTTCTCAGCTCCAGCGATGCTGCGAGATGGCGATCGATAGAGCAGCGGAGCTTCACGAAGTGAGCCTGAGAAGGGGAGGAGAGGACGACCAAGTGCGAGGGAGAGAGGGCGGGGAAGGGGAAGAGGGAGGGAGTACGAAAGAGTATGAGGGAGGAGTGGGGCTGAGGAGGGAGGATAAGAGAGGAGGGAGGAAGAGGGAGGATAGAACTTATACCTTGTTACAGGTTTGCAAAGAAGCGCTAAGGAAGAACGAGGAGAAAACCAAGAAGAGAGATATGGACGCTTTGAGAAAGATCAAGCGAGCGGACGTGGAGGAGGTGGAAGTGGAGGAGGAAGGAGAGAGCAAGGAGAAAGAGGAAAAGGGAGAGGAGGGAGAGGCGGAGAAAGAGGCGAAAAAACTCAAGACTGAAACCTAGATCAAGGGTGGAAGATAGTCAAAGGGGCCAGACAAGTGATGAAAGCTGTTCACAAGCCAGAGGATTGAAAGCGAGAGTTGAAGAGAACACATCAGAGGAGGAGGGGAGAAAGAAAGAGGAAGACGGGGAGGACGGAAAGAAAGGATTGGAGGGATGTATCTACATTAATAAACAAGATTGGGGGGCAACGGCCAAACTATCTCTGAATCCAAAGGAGAACCTGCAGACAAGTCAAACTATCACCAAGAGCATGAAACAAGTCAACCAAGACATCTCATCGGCGTATAGTAGAGGTCAAAGTATTCCTGCAAGCACAACGAACTTGTCAACGTTTGGCAGCGAGATCGAGTCGATGAGCATACCTCGAGACTCATGACGTCTGGGCTGGCACACAGGCCAAGGATCTCTTTCACGGATGGTATGAGCTCAGGATATTTCCGCTGCAGCAAAAGATCAAACGTCAGCAAGCAAGAATGCAAAAGAACAACTTGACTTCTCTACCTGCATGTTGCTCATTGCTTCTTGGTACTCCTTGTCGTCCAACGTCTTCAGCTGCCGCAAGCTGTGAGGGGCTGAAGACTTTAGACGGCAATATCTTGCATTCCTCACATTCTTTCCGATCTTCTGCAAGTTGATCGACATCTCTGGAATGAGATTGATAACACCTTCCTGGTTTGAAAACACTTCACCTCATTCCTGAACAAAAACACCATGTGCTCTCACCCTGTCTAAGTGCGCTGGGTCAGCCTTCGGCTGGTTGATGGAGCAGGATGAGTACATAGGAAACATCCTTCCCGGTCTGTTTGCATGTCAGGAGGCAACAGCTTCGCAGCATAGCAAGCATACGTGTCTTGGATGGACGAAAACATATGAAAAGAAATCCCCTGCCCCTTCACTCCGTTGTCAGGTTCTTGGAGGCTCCTGAGCGTTCCCACGATGAGCCGTTGAGGCCCTTCAAGAGTCTGCAACAATGAGATGGACGAGTGAAAGTGAGAAGACAGAGGCGGGAAGGAATGACATGCGTACCAGCAGGCAGCAAGCATTCAACAGGATTGTTATCCCTGTTGTAAATCCTCCCTGCTCGTCCTGAGCAACAGTCTTCTTCACACAGTCGTCTATCTGCTCCTTGATCGCTTCCCCCGCCTCGATGCTCCCGCTGTATCTCATTCCAACAACAACTCTATGAATCTTCTCTACAAGCTCCAACTGTTCGGCCTTCTCCATGACAACATCGAGGAGGGATTTCCGTTCTACGTTGAAGGATTCCATGTCCAAACTATCCTCCTTGACAAGTCCTGCTCCGCCTGCTCCCGGTGCTGCCTGTGTCGCCCCTGCCGCCATGGCTCCATCCTCTTCTCGCGCTGCCATGGTGAAACAACGGCTGTGAGGTCGACTGGCGTTCAGAAAAGAACCTTGTTATTAGTGGTCGATATACACGGGTAGTCATAACCTGTGTGAGGAGGGGTGGGGGTGGTACATCTGCTGGAGTATGGGGTACTAATACAGGAAATTAGAGGGGTACACCCTGAAATTCATTGGTGGGTGGTTGAGGTCAGGGTGGGAGAGGTTCATGATAGGAGGTGGGGTCATTAACCCACGGTACCTTTTCTGTGACTGAGCAGTATGGAAAGTACCGGTACATATAGACAATGCTCATCAGACATACCATGGGGTGGTACAATCGGATAATGATAAGGTGGGGTGACTGAGTTGCGTCGAAGTAGGGGTGCTACAGGGTCAGGTTCGTGGGGTATCAATAGTACGGGTAGTACTTACCACCCCGCCGCTTTCCTGTAAGAACCCACCTGGTAGGGATCCAGAGCGCAACAAGGATGGCGGAAGGGGAGGAATGGGTCAGGCCGCATGCGGACGATGAAGAAGCCGCGGGAGGAGGAGGAGGAGGAAGGAGAAGCAAGACGGATATGGAGGAAGGGCAAGGCGACACGGTCCTCATGCACAGCGAAGGTGGTGAGGGGAAGCAGATGTGCATGCGGTGGGCCGTTTTCGGAGCTTTGATTCTTTGCGTTTCGCTCAGTCCAGAAATCATCGTGCTCCCCGAAGCAAAGATCCGCTACTTCGGCAATGCGACGCTGGCAACAGAGTACAGCAGCTACATAGATGCAAGCTCAAACTTCCTCGGCGTTCTCACTGCTCCTGTGCTGGGCAGACTTTCAGACACGCTCGGGAGAAAGCCTCTCTTTATCTTTGCCTGCATGGTGATCACAGCGCCAAGTGTCTGCCTCCTCCTTTCCCCTGTCAACCTGCTTCCTTACCTCGTCTGCACTGTATTGCGCGGGTTTGCAGGAGGGCCCAACGGGATCTTTCCCTTGATCACTGCGTACCTAGCGGATCTGTACCCGGCGGAGGTTCGATCCAAGTACTTTGGCTGGTCCTTTGCCATATTCTCCGTGGGGTTTATTCTTTCTCCTCTCATCACGCTGTTTGATCGAGGTGCCTCCAACGAGACCGTCTTCAAGGTTTCTGTTGCCTTCAACCTCCTCTCCGTTCTCCTCGCATTCGCCCTCCCGGAGTCTCTGGCCCGAAACAGCCGCGTGCCCATGAAGGGAGGGTGGCGGAACGTGCTGCCATTTCGTGCTCTCAACAAGCTGTTTCACTGCAAGATCACGCTGGTGCTGGCTTGCATCTCCTTCTTCTTCACGGTCTGCGAAAACGGGATAGAGACGACCATCTTCTACTTTCTCAACGACAGGCTCGGCTTCATGGAGAAGGACAACGCTCGCCTGTTCCTCATCCTCGGAGTCAGCAGCCTCTTCGTGCAATCGATCGCCCTGCCCATCCTCCTCAAGTTTGCCTCTGACTCTTCGGTTCTCCGCATCGGGCTCGTCTCCTACATCTTCCACCTCCTCCTCTTCGCCTGGTCGACGTCAAAGTGGATGGTTGACGCCAACATGCTGCTTGCTGGCTTCACCTTCCTCACCTTCCCTGCCATCAACGGGCTCATGTCCTCTGTCCTCTCCGGCAAGGACCAGGGCGTCGGCTTCGGGACCCTCGCGTCTGTGCGAGGCATCGCCGCTGCCCTCGGCCCCCTCATGTTCGGAACAGTGTACGCTGCTCTAGGCAACGAGCGGGTCAGATTTCCCGAAGGAGTCTTCTACTTCGGCTCCTCCTTCGTGCTCCTTGCCCTCCTCTTGTCTTGCTGCTGGCTGCCAGGCGCTCTGCTGGCTCCTGCGGTGGAGGAAGCCACGGAGCGCACTGCTCCTTTGCTCCTCCACCTGGAGAGCTCTTCGATGGATTGTGTGGACGATAGTGAAGGTTGAAAGATGCGCAAGGACGTTAGCTGGACATTGTTCTTGTAAATGACGAATGAATCTTGTTTCTGTACATCTGGGATCGCTGCAGTATGTACATAAGACAAGTTGTTCTTAGAAATCTCTGTTTGCAAAAGACAACCTGTTCACATGATTGCATGATCGGTTCTCATGTGCTCATGCGCAAACTCGCGCATGTCTGACGAAGAATCGACTCCTGATTTCATGACTGGACGCATTCTCGTTGTTGTTTCCGAGGGGTGGGGGGTCTAATTGGACGGGTACTTGAAGAAGAATTCCTTTTTAAAGGGGTAGAGGGAAGTGAGCAGCTATGTTTTTACAGAGAGAGTGTAGGGTGGGTGTAACAGATAGGGGTAGGGGTACACAAGAATATGTTGATGGGGTGCAAAGACCAACACGCGAAAATGAGAGTGGCGGAACATGATTGTGAGGGAGGGAGGAGGGAGGGAGGAGAGAGGGAGAAAAGAGGGAGGAGGGAGGGAGAGGAGAGAGGGAGGAGAGAGGGAGGAGCGAGGGAGGAAGAGCATGTATAGGCAGGTTCGTGATCTGATGAGAGGAGAAGCAATAGGGCAGGAACACAAGGGAAACATAGAAGAACACAGACAAAAAGAAGAGGTAGGCGGGCAGCAGACCTCTGACCTGCTTCTATCGCTCAGCCTAGCCCCTCTCCCTCCCTCTCTTCTTCCCTCCGCTCCTTTCCCCTTCGCTCCCATTCCCTCCGCTCCCCACCTTCCCCTTCCCACCCCTCTCTCTCCTGTCGTCATGTAGAATTTGCTTTCTACTGGATGTAATCTGAGGATGACCTTCTTGCAGACACTTCACTCGAACCATGGAGACTGTGGATCTCACCGACGACGCGGATGTCATGGTAGCAGAGGAAGCGTCGGGTTCATCGACGGCCAGCAAGATTCAGATGCTGCAAGAGATCCTGAAGCACAAGAGGCGCGAGAAGAGAGAGGCAGAGCGGAAGTTTCGGAGTCTCAAGGAGGAGGTGGAGGACCTGGAGGGGCAACTCCAGAAGCTGGTTGACAAGGAGAGGATGGATGAGATGGAGAGGAATCGACCCGATTGGTCCAAGGACTTCGAGTGGAGTGGGGAGACGAGGAGCGTGCTGAGAGACGTCTTCAGGCTGTCTTCCTTCCGGCCTCTGCAAGAAGAAATCATCAATGCAACGCTCTCTAACAAGGATACCCTCGTGCTCCTGCCTACAGGGGGAGGGAAGTCGCTGGTTTACATGCTCCCAGCAGTGATGAGGAAGGGCCTGACACTGGTTGTCTCTCCTCTGATCTCTCTCATGCATGACCAGGTCTCCCTTCTCCGTCTCCTCGCTCCTCTCAATCTGTTTGTCAATCCCTGCCCACCCGCCCACCTGCTTTCCTGTCCCCTCTACGCTCCTCACGAACATCTCAGGTCAGCCAACTACGTCAACTGGGAATCCGTGCTGCTCTCTTGTGCTCGGCATCGGACAAGATGGAGACGAAGCAGATCCATGACGAGATTGCGTGCGAGGGCTCATCCCTGAAGCTCTTGTACGTCACCCCTGAGAGGGTAGCCAAGAGCAAGACGCTCCTGTCCAAGCTGGAGAAGTGCTGGAAGATGTCGCTGCTGCAGCGGGTGGTGATCGACGAGGCGCACTGCATCTCCCAGTGGGGTCATGACTTCCGCGGCGACTACACCAAGCTCGGCATCTTCAAACTTCAGTACCCCGACGTTCCGGTCATGGCACTGACGGCGACGGCTACCTCCAAAGTGCAGGAGGACATCAAGGATTCGCTCCAGATCTCCTTCTGCGAGACTTTCCGGGCTTCTGTTGATCGTGCCAACCTGCAGTTCGAGGTGAAGGAGAAGGCAAGCAACCAGGCTGCCTCCATGCAGCAGGTGGCGGAAGAGATCCTTAGCAGGTTCACCAACATGCCCGGCATTGTCTACTGGTCAACACCCTCATGCTCTGCTTGTCTGTCTGACGGCCAACCAGTTTCTCCAAGAAGGAGGCCGAGCAGTTGGCACAATACTTGCAGGTCCTTCAACCCCCGCCTCACACTCCCTCCTCTCCCACTCAGCATGTGCCCAGCTGATGGAGGTTGACACAGGAGCAAGGCATTCGAGCCAGGTTTTACCATGCAGATCTAGGTGTACAGATGCGATCTTTGTGTAGCATGCGCAAGTGACGTGAAATGTAGAGATGTATGGAGACGCACAGGCTGGTACTTGTGGGCGTGTAGACGTGTATGAAGATTGGAGTAGCGGGAGGATCCAGGTGATTCAACCATCCACCCTCTTGCCCTCTTGGGTGGCATCCCGCCTCCTCACCGCCGCTCTCTTGCTCTCGTCTCATCGTTCGTGTGTCTTTGTGCAGGTAGTGGTTGCAACAATAGCCTTCGGAATGGGCATCAACAAGCTCGACACAAGATTCGTGATCCACCATACAAGTACTCCACCCAGCTCCCAGCTGCTTTCCAGCTGGCCTTTCAAGCACAAGACGCTGACATGCTGGCAGTGTCGAAGAGTCTCTCTGCCTACTACCAAGAGGTCAAGTCGCATGCTCGCGTCGCCCGAGGCTGATGCGCTGCAGGCGGGCAGAGCTGGGAGGGACGGAAAGCCTGCCACCTGTCTTGTGCTGTACCGACCAAGTGAGAAGCAGAGGAGGAGGAAGAGGGAGAGGATCCCGGCGAGGGCGAGGGACGGGAAGGGGCCGGAGGGATGCGAGGAGAGGACCTGAGATGAGGACGGCAGGTGATGTGATCCGACAGTCAACCCTCGCGATGGGCAGCCAACTGAACAAGTGACGCATGTCTTGTCTTCCTCCGCGTACTTACCTCGATCCCAGCGCTGTTGACGGCGTCTACGGCATGGTGCGGTACTGCGAGTCGCTGATGGAGTTGGAGGAGGGGCAGTCTATGCACCTGCTGGGACGGGAGAAACTGGCTGAGAGCTTCGGAGAGCAGCTCAGTCTACGTCCTCCGCAAGAGCAGCAGCAGCAGCAGCGGCTCGGGGAGAAGACAGACTTCACCGATCAGGCGAGAATCTGCTTGAACCTCGTCATCCAGTTGAAGAGCATGGACAAGCAAGTCACGCTCCTTCAGCTTGTGGACCTGTGGAAAGGACAAGGTGTGAACTACAGCTGTTGTCTTGCGCAGTCACCAGGGGCTCGGAGCAGGAAGGAAGGAGAGCTGGAGGCTTCCTCCCGACACCTGCCCCAAGGACATGAGCAAGACAGCGTGCGAGCGGGTCCTCGTTTGGATGCTGCTGGAGGTGAGCCAGAGGGAGGGAGGCTGTGGGCAAGGGGAGGTCGCTCGGGAGGATGTGAGGGGTGGGTGTTGGTTCGGAGGGAGAGAGCAGGGCCTGTGTGCAGGAGCTGAAGTCACTGACGGCAGGGAGTGCTGAAACAGCAGTTCTCCTTCACTGCGTACGCTGTCAACAGCTATCTAGTGCCAGGACCCAAGGCCAACGGTCTGCTCCATGGAGGAGAAAGGTTCTCGATCGGAGGCCATCTGGTGAGCAAGGGAGGAGGACGAGAGGCTGGCGGGCCCCGGTCGGAGACCAGAGGCCGGAAGAGCAAAGCTGGCATGTCTGGTGGGCAGGGGATGGACGAGGGCCGCGATGGTGCAGACTCAGATGATGAGTTCGTCAAGAAGAAGAAGAAGCCTCGGAAGAAGACTGTCAGTGACTCACTCTGACTGCCCGGGTGAGTTTTCAGGTCCGAGTCAGTGTACGGTCACGGCGCGGCGGGCAGCGCGCGGCCCGGCCCCGGTTGACTCCGAGTGGCCGAGCGGCGGCGGCACGGCTGGTGCAGTACTGCGATAGCCGAAACGTGACTGCTCTCCGCCTGATTGTCCTCGTACTGAATTTTAACTTAACTTTGAGTAAAAGAGGTACTGGGGGCGGAGGAACACAGGTCGTCGGCTCGGTCCGCAGAGTCTGATTGCCCCCCATCCCCCCTCATCTCCGTTCCGACGACTCACCAAAAAGGCTGCGGAGCCTCGGAGTTTTCGGGACAAGTTGGGGTGGTAGAAGGCTTTTAAAGTGGGGTAGGGGTGGTTTGAGATTCGACCTCTTGCGCGGAAGATACCAAAAATAATTGTTTGGGTTGCAAGCTGTAAGACTCGGCGGTCAGCTCCGTATCTTTACCAGCCCTCCTGTCAGCGCTCATTTACATATATTTAGCCGATTGAAATCTCAACGATCCATCTCCAATCCGTGCGCCTCCTTTAATAAGTCATCTCCTGGCACCTCTCACCGTAACAGAGAGATATGCCTCAGGGTAGGGTACAAGTATGTGAATTCGAGGGTAGGGGTACTTCTTGTTCTTGTACGTAGAGCTTTTATGACTCCTTCGATCACGATCGGGCCAAGCGGCGCTAGGTATTAGAAAAGGAAAGGACGAACAAATGGACCAGGATCAGGATAGGCGAAGATAACCTAATGCTTCAATTGAAGAAAATAGGTGGTAGGGGCATGTTTGCCCTACAATCCAAACATGTCAAGAGGTTGAATTGCCTCCTTGGTCTCGGGGACATCAGCAACTGTCATCAGAAATCTCGAGAACAGCGCAGGTGCACATGGGAGCAACTCGACAGGGGGCTGAGATCCTGAAAGCGCTACCTATCATACTTTACTACTGGGGGGGCTCCGACCTTTTGAGACGTAGGAACAATGTATCTGGTGATACAAATGAATTGTCACGGTACCTAGAAGCAGGGTCGGTGGTCTTAAATATGATAAGCGACACGCGCTCTCAATGCATTTGTACTGGAAGGGGACAAGATTTCTATTTAAGGCCACATTCACGGGAGAGCTGTTGAAACGCTATGAGTTTACACTTTCTCATTACCACACACTTCCGACCCCAAGTCCTGGCCCAGACTCCACCCGACCCCTTGTTATTTCTACCTACCCCTTGAAGTCCTACCAGTACCCCTCATGTTCACAATGTACCCCTTCAACGACCACATATTTGATGGAAATGTTGGGGTGTTTTTATTGACCTCTTCACCGCATGGCCTACCCTACCCTCCTAGCAGACAGCAAAGATGACCCCTACCCCCAATGCAGGTTCCCCCTCCCCCGCCCTCTTCACCTCCCCCCCAATATAAACTCGACGGGGAGCAGAACAGACAACAGTCAAAGTGCATCTTTAGTTTCATCTGCTTCCTCTGCTTCCCCTGCTTCCTCTGCCACCCCTCAGATCTCTGCGAACGAACCTTCACTCCTCCTCGTCTACTCTCTTGACCTTTCACCTCTTTCCGGTCTCACCTCTATCAGTCTTTCAACAAGCTACCCTTCTCCATAGATCATGCACGACAACAGTTTTGCTAGAGTGTTTCCCAGGCGCAAGAGAGGAGAGCCGGGATGTTACAGCAAGGGAAGAGACGGCATCCGCTTGGGCTACGAAGACATCACTGGACTCTTTCACATGCGCCAGACTGAAGCGGCCAAGTACCTTGGCATCTCCCTTACAACCATGAAGAGCGTTTGTCGCCGCGTTGGAATCACAAGATGGCCTTATTCAAGGCAAAGGGACAGGGCGGGCTCTCCTTGCAGCACAGACTCGGCATCATCTGATGAGGCACATCATGCACACGAGGCTCCATCGCACGACTGTTCCTTCCCTAGCGTACAGCATGTGAGTAGCAAGGACGAATCATCACATCAGATGGCCCTGCACTGCCAGAAGATCGAGACAGGGTCAGAGTACCTTCGCCTCCTGATGGCGGCAGCAGCTCATGACGGCGACTTCATTCCCAAGGTGGAGGAGAAGCAAGCGCTGCAGGGAAGCATGGTTTCTCGCGTGGTGCTGGACGACTCGGTGCACATGTCTGCTTTCGATGAGACCAACACTTCTCTCTTCGACGAGGCACTGCAGCATGTGCAGAGCACGTTTACCGGACGCTTTGCCTGCTACTGATTGAAATGACTGTAATCATACTCACATGTAAAGAATAAATCTGAATGAACATCATGAATTTCATTTCATCTCTAAGGGAGGTCTTGGTGTTCTCAACGCACTTCTCTGTCGTTCTCACTTAAGTTGGTTGGTGTTGTAGGTAATGCTGTGACCCTCGCGTGAAGATTGTTATGTGGAAGTCTTATCCTTATTTCAAGGGTTGCTTGTTGTGTGCGATTTCGACTGTGTTACTTTTTTGAGAGAGGAGCGAGTTATCAGAAGACGGGAACTTTCGAAAATAGTGAGAGCGAAGCGGAGAGGTCCGAGAATGGGGATCCAAAGGAGCTGGAGGAAGTCAGAAATCCAGGACCCAGTCAAACAAGGCGCTCGACGGAATGCCAGAAGATGATGATGAAACTGCGAAGAGAACCAACGGCAGGCAGGCCACATCGAAAGGAAGTGGAGTTGTTCCAACCCTGCAGTTCGAGCTGTTCTGACGTCATTTTGATCCTTGATTTACTGTACAATAGAAACTTGAATCATGAGATTAAATCTCGTTAACAAATCCACGCGTCCGGTCACGCATGCCCCCTTTCAACATCTGCCAGCTCCTCTACGTCCTTCATGTTCACAATGTACACAAGTTCAGCAACAGCCGAAACCTTCGGGCCCTCGTCCAGCTTTGCATCTTGCTGTGCTCTTGCGCGATATCTCCTGATGGAGAAGGCGGAGATGCAAGCAACGCCTACTACTCCACAGGAGAGGATGATGTAGCCGTACACAGACGTAGGGACTCGCGAGCTGACCGTGCTCCAGGTCCCTCCAGTCGCCGAGCCATTGGCGTACGAGGAGGCATCCGATGTGTTGGCAGGAGGATCCAGTCGAGGGTCAAGAGTGCGGGAGATTCCGGTGGACACCGAGCAAGAGATGAGGTGGACGTCTGGAAGGATAGCAACCAAGGTCGACTCGTTGAAGGTGGCTTCTTGTCCAACGAAGATGATCAACGCCTTGAAGAAAGCTGCCGTGACGGTAGGGGCCGAAGCACTCGACTGTGACGACGTCATGGAGCCGCTCCGATGGAACGCCAGGATCCTGACCTCCTGCACGGCGCCCAGCTCCGAGAGCCCCACGGAGAGACGCGATTGAAAGCTTTGCTTGAGCTTGACCAGCTCCATAGACGACTCTTCCAACGAGAGCCCGAGGCGAAAGTTGTAGACTATGGCCCCATTCTTCAAGAATCCCAAGGCTCGTGCAGCTTGCTCGGCTGGATTCACAGGGAGTGCAAGTCCAAAAGAATTTTTCCCGGTGCTCAACTGCACGTCGAAGGCAACCCTCCTCTGAGAAGTTGTAGGCGAATATAAACTAATCAGAGAAATCTGAGACATCTAATCAGTTCGAAGCAAACAGATACAACGCAAGCTCTCACCATAGCCACCTTTGAAGGATACCATGTAACCGTTTGGTTGTAGCAATTTGCGGGATTGAACCACCACGCTCTATTGTATCTTCCATTCAAGAGGTACTTTCCTTGAACGATTGTAGCATACTGTATGCCCAGATTTCTAGAATACTCAGACGTCCCAAACACGGTTTGGAAGAATGAGTTTTGTTCCATGCTTTGCGCAGTGCCATTCAATTCCATAATCGTCGTATCAACACACCCACCCGAGATCCCTGGGGATTGTTTGATAACATTCATATCCTGCATGTCGTATCTCAAAAAGCATCCTGAGTTCGCTACAGTGTTGCACAGGTCAAGGAGTGCTGAAGTCGGTGTCATGGTTGGATGAAGCCCTGACTTGTCGATCGTGAGTGCCTGGCCTGACATCAACAGGCTCATTATTTCTTCATAGATGACACTGGAATCTGGGAAATGGAGAGAAATGACGTCTACAAGCTCGAGCACATTGTTTGCTGCACCCTGCAGGTTGAAAAAGCTGTCTTGTCCTTGCAAAACGAGAGTGACCAAAGCACTCTCAGGACTGGCAGCAGAAAAATTTGTTACAACCAATTCCCTTGAAGATGACTGGTTCGCTTGAAATAATATGTTTTCCAGAACTATCAATTTGCCATTCTGCAAGTTATCGATTTGATCTGTTGAACCAATAACAATGTCCTGGACAACATGTCAAATACATTGAAACAAGATTTGTTGAAAACCTACCACATTCGCCACATCGCTCAACACACTCACAGCTTTGGCTTCAGAGCACCAAGAAACATATCCGTTTTCAATCAAAGGGATCATGACCTGAAGATCCGTTGAGACAGTATTTCCGCTTAGATCTTGTGCAGTGACAGTAAACTCCATGAAGATGTCTTGTAATTTGGCAATGTCGTCTGAGGTAAAGAAATTTTCTCCAAGCGGTATTCCAATTGAAATGAAGTTTCCTCCTGATTGATGAAGTTTCAACTGACAGAGATTAAGAATCGGTGCGCAGGTAGAGTCAAGGTTTGAAAACTTGTCCCTCAAGTTTTGATCATCCCAGATTGAATTGTTTGCCTGACTAGAGCATGCGCTTGTGAGATTCACTGTGCTGATATTCTTACCCTTCCCAACAAAGATTGAGTTCAACGGAATGATATCTCCATTCGACATATAGCTCGAAGATAACACGACCAGGACTTGGATGTAATCCAGCTTCGAAGCTCCCGAGTTGAGGTCAATCTGATTCAGCACAACAGACACAAAGTCGACGTAGGAAGTTCGTAGTGATGTTCCTCGTTGAACAGGGAGTATCCCTACAACAAAACAAATGTCAGAGGAAACTAGATGTTTGAAGCAAACAGCACCTGTTTGCGACAGGCTAAAAGACTTTTTCACAATCCCTGCGTATGTGAATGGATCTCTGGTATGGAAAGTAGCCATCCCGATGTAAGTTTCGAGAGAGTGTTCACCGCCGTGCTCTTGATGAGACAGCGCAGCATTCATCTTCAGTTCCTTGGAGTCAAGTTGAAATGCCAAGCGATCAGGTTTCGGATATCTCAGTCTTGAAACGTCCAATCCGATGATTCTTCCTTTGTCGTTTGGGGAGCTATACCTTTCTCTCTCAGACCTGATCTTAGAAGCTGTGCAGTCAATGTTCTCTGCATTGTCCGTGCCACTCGCAATTTCCGATGTCATCCAGAACTTTTGACCAAGAGTATCCAAGCAACAGAGGCCTCGCAACGACCGTTTGCCAAATTTCGGTCTGCAGGGGAAAGAATTCGCTTCCTTTTCCATTTTGGGGTCTGACGCCTCATACAATCCAGGATTCGATGATCGTGGAAGGAAGAAAATACGCTTCTCCGATTCATCCTCGGATGTTTCGTGCGACAACAAGACGTTCCAGCATCCTGATTGCAAGCAATCTCTTTGAAACCAAACCTGCGTGACAGAAAAATGCTGGATTGTTTCATTTTCTTCTGAACACGAGCATCGCAGCAACAGGAGTAATATCCAAGGGATTTGCCAGACAGAGTGAGACTTCATGGCGTCTTGTGTCAACACAAGACAACCGTGAACGCCTTTCTCCTCGCTGAGCTAGAGCAAATCAACATCAACGCTTTCTGGTTGGCCCTTGCAAGCGCATCGATCAACGTTTGTGTGGGTTATGAATCTACAGTCTTGCTTCCGTCTTCATTCTGTCGTTCTACCCCAACTCGAGCTCTTTCCATCCTCCATCTCCCTCCTCTCATCTTCGAAAAGCCAAGAGTCCTTGCCCTGTCGCTCGGGCATAGAAGTCCGAACTTCTTTACCCTACCCCTGTGTACCCCGCAGTCCACCCCTCTTTCGCCTCTTTCTCTCTACCCTTACCCCCCTGAATCAGTCTTTGTACCCCCTTTCATGACCCTCTCTCCACCCCAGGAGAACATCTCTACCAGTACCTCTTCATCACCCCACCCCCCGAACTCACACCAACCTGACCCACCACCCCGGGACGGTTTACCAGGGTAAAACCTCTAAACACCCCAAATCCGACGACCCCTCGTTCCCAAAAATCTTGATCACCCCACCCCCATGATCTGACCTCCTAACTCCTACTCGCGGATTACCCCTACCTGTTACCTGTTGATTCAGATCACCGGTACTTATTTTCGTCTAGCAAATACTACCCCTACGTGGTCTCTAAGGTTGTTTTGGTTCTCTCTGACCACCCCCACCCCTCATATTTCCAAGGCTCCATTTGACCCTGTTGACAGCGCTTACACACTACACTGAAAGGACCACCACTGACTGGCGGCTGTACCAGTAGATACGAGGTATTACCACCCCACCCCTCTCACTGAACCACCCACCACCGTCATAGGCTGATCACGTAGCGGCTGACTGCCTCTATGGGTATAGGCTAGTGGAGGGGCCCTAGTAGTAGGTTGCTACCCCTCCGAACCCGGTATTTACAGTAGTAATTATTCTCAATGACCACCCCTGGTTCTATCGGGCGCAAAACGGAGTCTGAGAGATAACCACCCCTGGATCTCTGATCAACTGGCGGCACCCCCGGGTCCGACGGTCATCCACCCCCACCCCCCCTCCCCCCCACCCTTCGGCCTCTTTTGTCTGTTTCTTCAACTAGTTTTATGGGGAGAAACATTCAGTCAACTGTCACTACCGGTACTTGCAGGCTGACAGCCGCGTTAGCCGGGACTGGCTCATCCGGAGGGGGTGGTCTCAGCCGCTGACTCGAGGGGCCCTCCCCGTCGGCTATCACCAGTGCCTGACCCGCTGGCTCGACCGTTTGAACTTAGTGGATCAATATGAAAATAGCCTTACATGGCCACCATAACCGCAGATCTCTCTTTCCGGGGCCGCCGCGGCCGCGCGTCCCGGAGCCTGCAGGAATAGGCTAGTGCGGTACCGTACTGCCGGGCACTGGCAGGGGGTACAGGGGGTGGGGGTCCGATCCGAGTCACTCCGTCGCCAAGCCCTACGAAGAGGTCACGATCAACCAGCGGGCGGCCGTAATAACTTAGCTTAACTTTGAGTAAAGAACCTGGTAGCAGGCCCACCACTCACACGCCCGGTCACGCTATCGCAGTCCGGGCCTGCCCCTCATACAATCCGGGCCCGGCGCCGGCCGGCGGCGCAGCGGCCGGCGCCGGCGGCGCTCACTAGTAGCGGCCACTGACGAGTCAAGACCGGGTCGCCGGGCCGGTCGGAGGGACTCCCGAGCGACCGTCGGGCACTGGCGATGAGATGAGGGGAGGCATGCGAGTCGGGGAGGTGACGACGCTGATGGCGCTGTGGTGGGCGAGGGGAGCGAGCGGGAGAGTCTCAGCAGACAAGTCGGTGGTGTATGGCCCAGCTCTGAGAAGCAGAATCGTGACACCAGCTAGGTACCTCTTCATCCAGGCTGCGGACGAGGACGGGGTGAACTTCACGAGCTCAGCGGGTGCGGGTGCGTTCAGAGTTCAGGTTCACATCCTCGTTGGGGGGAAGAAGAAGCAGCTCAAGACCGAGGTCCAAGACAGGGGGGATGGGAGCTACCAGGCAGTGTTCTGGTATGGCATCCAGCCTGAAGCGCTCATCATCTCGGTCACCACGAAGGAGGGCAAGTACGTGAGGAAGGAGGGAGAGGAATCAGCGAGGTCTGGGCCCATCACGCTCAAGAAGGTGGAGGTGGAGCAGTGCTACTGTCCGGATCCTGATCCTGAGAGATGGGCGAAGAGTTATCAATGCAGGGAGGAAGAGCCGCAAATCTCTCGCGACTTCCAGCAGTTTGAGGGGATCAGCAATGCAGGGCTCGAGGACATGAAGCAGATACTGCGGAGGAACGACAGCAACTGTTTTGTGCATTACGTGGTTAGGAACAATGAACTGTATGGGAAGGCCTACGGGAAGTACCAGGGTTTCAAGAAGTACACGGATGACATGTTGCTTTCGCTGATGAGGAGGGTGGTGGTGCCTGATGTTGAGTTCCTGTGGAACGTGGGAGACTGGCCGTTGACCAACAAGTCTTCCCCTCCCTTCCCCGTGCTCTCCTTTTGTGGCAGCGCGAGCTCCTACGATGTGATTGTCCCGACGTACAAGCTGTTCCTGTCCACTGTCTTCGGGAAAGACCTTGAGAACGTCAACGACGTGGACGGGAAATGTTACACGGCAGGAGGAGGGTGGGAACGAAAGATCGGGAAGCTCTTCTGGCGAGGAAGAGACTCAAACCCACAGCGGGTGAAGTTCGTGGAAGGGATTGCGTCAGAGCATCGAGATCTGATCGATGCTAATATCAGCAAGAACCACATGAATTACTACCCGTCGGAGGAGGAGCGGATGCGAGACAAGCTGCTGCAGGCCGGAAAGAAGGTGGAAAGAGTGAACTTTCTGTCCTTCTGGCGCTACAAGTACCTCCTCAGCCTGGATGGGACGGTGGCGGCCTACCGCATGCCTGCGCTGCTCGCAGGAGACTCGGTGGTAGTGAAGCAGAGCTCTGAGTGGTACGAGCACTTCTACTCTGAGCTGCTGCCCTTCACGCACTACATCCCCGTCAAGGAAGACCTCTCGGACCTCCTCCTGCAGCTCCACTGGGCCAGGTAGGAGGCAGTTGGTGCATGTGGAGGCAGAGTGCGAGAAGAGAGGGAGGGAGGAGAGAAGGAGCAGGAGCGCGGGAGGGCAGCAATGACTCACTGTGCTCGCCAGGTCGCACGAGGAAGAAGTGCAGAGAATAGCGGCGCAGGGGAGAAGATTCGTGCGGGAGCGGCTGAGCTCGCAGCAAGTCTACTGCTACTACTTCCTAGTCCTCTCCTCCTACAATCGCAGCATGCTCTACCCCGTCGTCGTTCCTCCCGAGCTCCCTCGGGTGGAACAGCCGAGGCCGCAGACATCCTGCAGGTGTAGAAAGCGCAGGAAGAAGGAAAAGAGAAACGCGGGAGAGCAAGATAGGTGGAAGGGAGGGATGCAACAGGGGAAACGGGAGCTGTAAAGGTGATTTTCAGTGAGGTGTGGGGTGATTGGTGAGGTGATAGTTTTTCATGATTAACTTGTTTCAGACAAGAACAGGATACTTTGCCATCAGGTCTTTCCTTGTCTCATCGTCAACTTGAAAGTTGAGATAGGGGAATTGAAATGAGAGCCAAAGGAGAAGCACGTCAGTCCCCCTCCCACGATGTACACGTCCGACCCTCCCCTCCCCTCCCCTCCTTCCTCTTTCTCCTCCTCTTCCTGTCCTCCCCCTTCGCTCTTCCGCGTGCTCCACGTGCCCCCTGCCCACATGTCTGTCTTGATCGAGCACAGCAAGGGCGCGCTGGAGTGAGGAGGAACGTGAAGCTCTTGCCATGTGAGCCGATCGAGGTCGAGAGCATAGAGGGGGAAGGAGAGATCCGCCGCCTCCTCCTGGTCAGTGCATCCTCCCCCGACTAGCAGAAACTTCTTGTTCTCTTCTCCTCCTGCCCGAGGGAGCAAGAGGAGACACGCAGAATGAGCAAACCTCGCGCAGGGCCGCGTCCCCCACGTCGTCAGCTCCTCTGATATGAGACGGACAGTCCTCCTCCCCATGTCCAGTCCAAGGAGAGAGATCCGATACAGCCTGTCGGAGAGGAGGCGGGTGGTTGGATCGTAACCTCCGAAAAGCAGGAGGTTTCTGCCCCCGTCTGCTGTGACGGTCCTGCCGATGGCGGAGGAGGGAGGAGTGCTTCCGCTCAGGCTGACCTCACACCAGCTCGCCTGAAGCTCCTCCTTTCCATGCCCCAACTTCAGCACCAGCGCCTTCGCTCCACTACCAGCTCCAGCTACAATACCAGCTCCAGTCCCACTACCAGCTCCAGCTCCGGCTCCAGCTCCAGCAGCACTTCCTCTACGAGGGCTGATGCCACCGAGCAGCACGACGATCTCGACCTGCTCGTTCTCTGTGGCCAATACGCCTGCTCTGTGCCTGAACGTGGGAGGAGGAGGGTTTCCAGCGCACAGCATCCTCTTCCACACGCGCTCCTGCGTGTCCAGCACAGCCACATCACTCATCACACTCGCCCGCTCCTCCTCCTTCTCCTCCTCCTCCTCCGTCTCCACGGGGTTCGGCGGCGAACTCCGTCCCCCGTGCACGACGAGGTAGCGATCGAAGACGGAGCAGGCAGCATGCCAGACGCGCGGGGAGGGTTCGCCCTTGAGACCAGAGAGGTTCTCGACCATAACAGCCCGTCCTGTCTCGTTGGCGCTGGGGTCAAGAGCAGGAGCCGGGGAGAGAGAAGCCCGCAGGAGTTGGTTGCTCCTCCCCCCGCTCGACGTTTGACCTCCAAAGATCCACAGCTCGTCCCTTATCTTTACAGACGCATGCCCCCAAAAGCCTCCTGCCCCTGCCCCTGAATCACCATCGCAAGCATAGATGCAAGACGCGCGGAGGAGTACTTCCTTGTTCGCAGAAGGAGGAGCAACGATTCCTTCCTCCTTCTCGCCTCGCTCGGCTCCAGCAGCCGAGGCTCTCCACCTGGGAAACGGCTGGACCAGCTGGGACATACTGGCTGAGCTGGTGATGGCCCAGGAGAGGCAGTAGTGCTTGCACTTCTCTTTCCACTCCTCCTCCTCGTCGAATTTCTCCCTCCTCTCCCCTTCCTCCACGCGCCCTCGCATCAGGACCTGCTCGTAGAGGTACGAGAGGGGGATAGAGTTTGATTCCTCCCATCCTGTCTCGAGGAGCCTCCGCTGCAGGGCTGCAGCATCAGGGGAGGACGAAATCGCCTTCAGCGCCTGCTCCTTCCTCTTCAGCGAGCTCGTCATCACCTGCCCGAACAGGTCGCAAGGGCCCGTCTGGTCGTAGGACACCAGAACAGCGTTGGGGAAGCGCTGGCGGACCCACAGGAGGAGACGCCTGACCTCCTCCTCCTCGAGGTACTGCAGTACGCACTCCGCCAGCACTAGCGTCGGAGCATGCGAGCTGCAGAAGCGAGTTCGCTCTACTGCCTCGTCCAACTCCCGCAGCTCCCGCAGGTCTCCTCCCACCAGGATCAAGTCCGAAGTCTCCAGGCTCGTTCCCTCCCCTCCCAAGTCCAGCCGAATCAGCTCGGGGTGCTTCGTGTACACGTCTTGCAGCTGCTCTAGCCGGTGCTTCAGCATACGGCCGTCTCTTCCTACCTTCCCCAGCTCTTCGCACATGGCGACGGCACAGGCGAGCGGGTCTTGACGGAGCATGTCGCTCTTCCTCCTGAGCACGGCAGGCAGATCGATCTCCATCCACCTGACGTGGTCCAGCCGCTGCCTCTCCTTAAAATGCAGGTACGAAGTGTCGTAACCAGCTCCCAGCACCACCACCTGACTGCCCAGCTGCAGCTCAGCCGTCCTGTCGATGAAGCTCGAGATCAGCCCCCGGACCAGCTCCATCCTCACGAAGTAGCCCCGATTGATCAGCGCCGTCCTCCGGCACAGCCGCGTCTGGTACAGGCCCCTCCTCAGGAAAGCATCCTCCAAGTAGCCTTCCCGGCACGCCGATGCCTTGCTCATGGTCGAGTCGTCGTTAGTCCTCTCAATGCCGCGGACCCTCTGGGGATCCTGGCTCGCATCAGAGCACCGGGGGACGCTCTCCTCTCCCTCCTCCTCCTCCGCTCCCTTGCCGCTCTTCCTCCCTCCCTTGCTCCACCGTATGACGCTCTGGTACCCCTTGTTGATAGTAGCGACCTTGGGCTCGAACAGCCATGCTCCTCCTCGTAGTTTCAACGGGCGGGCAGGAGGATGCGAAGGAGATTGGATCTGTGCCATGAGCAGGATGGAGGCGTCTGATATACACAAGAGGAGGAGGACGAGGATCTTCATAGCAAACGATGATTGAATTGGTGCAGTGGAAGGGGAGGGAAGGAGAAAGAGTGAGAATGGGGGGGGTTGAATGAGCTGGATGAAATGGTAGCAGGACACAGTGACAGCAGAAAGAAGAATAGGGTCAAGTGGATTGAGTATTGAGGAAGGGGGAAAAGGGAAATCAAGGAGGAGAGGGAAGGGGGGAGGGAGTATAGGGAGGGAGGGAGGAGGTAGTGGAAAGGTAGGAGGAGATGGGAGGAGATGGGAGGAGATGGGAGGAGATGGGAGAGATGGGAGGAGGTATCAGAAGAGGATAGGAATAGCTTCAGAGTTGAGGAGAAGCGGGGACGAAAGAAGAGGACGGAGGAGGAGGTAGTGAGGGCAGGTAGCGGATCCCTCCAGCATGGATTTCTGCACGCTGAGAGCTTCGAATAGGTGGGGGTACACAATGTGGGGGTGGGGGTACTGTAAATCAAGTCAAACACGTACTACTTACTGCGACGATCACCCCTCCTGTAAATTGGTCTTGCTAGTGTGGGTAGGGTAGTCAGAAAAAGGATGGTGGGGTACATAAAGGCAGCAGGGAAACAAACTCGAGTGAGGGAACTTGAGGCTCGGAGGAGAGAAGGGGGAGGAGGAGAGAAGAAGAAGAAGGAGGAGGAGGAGAAGAAGAAAGAGACGAAGGAGAAGGAGAAGGAGAAGGAGAGGAGAAGGAGAAGAAGAAGAAACTATATCAAGAGTTAGAATGGTGCAAGACAAACGGAGAAGGGACGCGAGAAGAACAAGAGAGGAAGGGCATTGACGGATTTACATGATGCTGTGGTACAGCAGCATGCCAAGGTTCGCCATATTCAAGCCTCATCGTCCGAGTTTCGTCTCTCTCCATGCTCAGCTGCGCAGGCAGGTCTGCCGTAACCTACAGACCTCAGGGAGGAGCAGACTTCTACATCCCCTCGTGCTGCCGCAATGGCGAAGACCGTGCGACCACGCCGGAGCAGCAGGAGCAGGATCCGGGGCAGGAGCAGGAGCAGGAGCAAGGCTGCTATCAAGCAGCCCCCCGCAGAACTTCTGGCATGATCGCACTTTCCTCGGGGCAGCAGCAGCGATGTCACTGGCTGTGTCCTCAAGCAACGTGCTCGTGCTCTACCCGATCAACGACTGGTTCACTGCTGGGACGCTCACCTACCCCGTCACCTTCCTCATCACTGACGTCTGCAACAAGTTCCTGGGCAAGGCAGCGGCTGACCGAGTCGTCATGTCCGGCTTCGCCCTTGCCATGCCTATCTCCTTCTTCCTCTCCGGCCCTCGGATCGCCATCGCCTCTGGCACCGCATACCTGACCTCTCAGCTCCTCGACGTTCGGATCTTCGATCGCCTCCGCCATCGCACATGGTGGGTGGCGCCGCTGGTCTCGACGCTGGTGGGGTCAGCGGTGGACAGCTCGCTCTTCGTCACCATCGCCTTCCTCGGGGAGCCGGTGCCATGGGTGACGTGGGGGATCGGCGACTTCGCCATGAAGGTCATGATGGCGCTGGTCATGCTGATGCCCTTCAAGGCCATCACTGGCAGCATCATGCGCAGCAGCAGACGCTCCTGGCATCTGCCGATCAGCAGGAGTCTTGGGAGGGGCGTGGGGAACTTGCTGTCAGAGTTGATCAGGGTAGGGGGCAAGCTGTCTCCTGCCCTCCCCACGGCTGGTCAGGAGCAGGTGGGGACGAGGCGGTGGGCTCCGAGCTGGATGTCTGGGGAGAGGCGCGTGTCGTCGAGGAGCTTCAAGATGTTCCATCCTACTGTGGACTGGCAGGCGGTGGAGGACGACCATGTGCTGCCTCCTGGGCTGGAGATCAGGATGGATGTGAGCAGCGGGCTGAGGTACGCGCGTCTTCCTCCTCAGGTGAGATGGGAGGGGTGGGACCAGCATGTCGTGACGAGAGTGCAGGAGGAGGTTGTACAGAGAAGTCCGCGCGAGGAAGAGGAGGAGGTGAGTCCGAAAGAGCAGGCCCCGGCTCAGAGGGTTGTGGACGTTGAGGTGAAGGAAGAGAAAGAGGAGGAGCTTGAATATGTTCCGCACGTCAACGTCGATGATTTTGACTACGAGCTGCCCGCTGAAAGGATCGCCGTCCGCCCTTGCAACCCGCGGGATCAGTCGAAGCTCCTGCTCTGTGTGGGAGACGAGCTTCTTCCTCGCTTCGCTTCTCTTCCTCCTCCCTCCCTCTCTGTCAACGGCTCGCACATCTTCGACCTCAACTTTATCGACGTTCCGGACTTCTTCCCCAAGAGCTCTCTCCTCCTCCTCAACGACTCCAAGGTGATCGCCGCCCGAATTCCCTGTAGCAAGAAGGACACAGGGGGAAGGTCTGAAGTCTTCCTGCTCTCTCCTCTCCTCCCCAGCAAGGATCCTCCTCAGGCTCTCCGAGCGAGCTCGGGGGAGGCTGTGTGGAAGACGATGATCCGTGGGAAGCGGATTGAGGTTGGCGACATCCTCGTGAGCCAGTCCATGGGAACCGACGGCACCAACAGCGCGCAAGTTCATGTGGAGGCTGAGGTGTTGGAGAAGGATGGAGCAGACGCTGTGGTCAGACTCCGCTGGTTCAATGCGAGCTCCAGAGCGCAAGGGGAGCAGCAGCAGCAGCAGCAGCAGCAGCAGCAGCAGCAGGAATCGTCTCCTCTCTTGCTGCATGAGGTGCTGAAGCAGATCGGGCGCGTTCCTCTCCCTCCATACATCAAGCGCGAGGCGGACAAGGAGGACCTTGTGACCTACCAGACCAGCCACGCGCAGCACGAGGGGAGTGTAGCTGCTCCGACCGCTGGCCTGCACTTCAGCGAGAGGGTGATGAGACGGATGTCCGAGCAGGGGACGGAAACTCTGCGGGTGACGCTGCATGTTGGTGCCGGGACGTTCAAGCCAGTGGAAGCGAATGACGTGGCCAATCACGAGATGCACCACGAGCGAATCATCGTCAACGTCAGCACAATGAATGGAATCAAGCAGGTCCTCTCTCCTCTCTCCTCTCCTTCCCTCCCCTCCGATCCCCTCCCCTTCCCTCCGATCCTCTCTTCTCTGCTCTCCTCTCCTCTGCTCTCCTCTCCTCTCCTCTCCTCTCCTCTCCTCTGCTCTCCTCTCCTCTCCTCTCCTCTCCTCTCCTCTCCTCTCCTCTCCTCTCCTTCCCTCCCCTCCGATCCCCTCTCCTCTCCTCTGCTCTCCCCTCCTTCTTGTCAGTTTCTTCCCGCCTTTCTACTCGTCTACTTTTCCTCTCTGGTTCTCTTCTCTATCTTTTCTTTGCCCTGTCTTGTCTTCTTACTTGTCTTGTCCTCCCGCCTCCATCTCCCCATCTCTTCTCGTTTCCTTTGGGGTGATGCTCTCCTCCCAAGGCGTTGGAATCCAACAAGCTCATCGTTCCTGTTGGCACCACAACCGTTCGAACCATCGAGTCCCTATACTGGTTGTCCTCCCCTATGCTGCCCGCCCCTCCCGACTTCTCTTCTCGCTAACCCTCTCTCTTCTCCTCTTCCTCCCCTCCCCATCCACTCCTCGCTTCCTTCCTGACCCCCCCCCCCCCTTCGGTCCCCCCCTCCCGACCCCTCTCTTCCCTCTCCCCCTTTTTTCTCTCCCCTCCCCTCCTCTTCCCTCCTCTCTCTCCCCACCCTCCCTTATCCCCCACAACTCACACCTTCTCTTCTTTGCGCTTCTCCTCCATTCTCACCGTCTTGCAGGTGGGGCGTTAAAGTGCTGCAGGGCGAAGTGGAGGAGGATGCGAAGGAGATTTCAGTGTCTCAATGGGATCCGTACAGGCTGGAGAGGAAGGTGGGGGGATGGGACAGACTGCCATCAGCACAAGAGTCGCTAGATGCTGTGCTCTCATGGAACAGACATGTCAATCTCGGAGACTTTGTCGTCGGAGAAACGCAGCTCATTATCGTTCCCGGATATCGGTGAAGTTGGACCTGAGCTCTGCTGATGGAGACGGCTGACTTCATTCTTCTTGCTCAGTTTCGCGTTGTGCGACCTGCTCTTCACAAACTCACACCAGCCACGATCGACCCTGCTGATGCTGGTAGGAGGATAGGAGTTTGCTTCTTTCAACCCTCTTGTTGATATCTCCTAATTTTCAGGTCTCGGCATTCGTGGGAGGACAAGACAAACTAAAGAGCTTGTACCAACACGCCCTGCACAACAACTTCAGGTAAATCTTCACTTTCGCTCCTTCACCAGTTCCCGACGCGGTTGCAGGTTTTTAAGTTATGGAGATAGCATGCTCCTCTCGTGTCCTCCATCAGCAAAACTGCCACACAGGAGCCAATAGCCTTGAAAATGATTTGCTCTTGTTTTGATTCGTCCATACAAAGTGATCGTATCAAGACTGTCAAAATAGGTGTCTGCAGGAGTCGTATTTGCAATCAATTTTATCAGAGAAAAGTAGGATTATTTCCTCAGGCGAACCCAGAAGACGATTTCCGATGGTCATGAATGATTTTTTGGCCCAATCTAAACATGAAAACAAAACTAGTATCTAAATATGAAAACAAATACACTTGGATGCAACAACTAGGGTTGCTGTGACTATTCCGTAGAAGATAGAATGGGAGTAGTGCGGACGATCCTGAGATCCTTCGATTTCTTCGGCTGAATACGTAGATCTTTCTGTCGGAAAGCTGATATTCTGAGGACCCGGTGAGAAGCTGGAATTCTTGACATGCTCAACCGGCATCAAGTCCTCACTGAAACACTTGTGGCTAGTGGAAATGTTCATTTTTGAACCAGATGTTTCGCGAAGGGACTTTGGCAACTTGTGAGTCGCAGCAAACACTTGGGGTCTTGAAAGCCTGTATCTCGAGGAGTTTGGGAAGGAGCTACATTGAAGCAGGTCATTGTCGATTCTTTGCAACTGAGAGTCAAGGATCATCGGTCACGAACCAATGAATCAGATACTATCATCAAAGAAATGAAAGCAAGTTGACCTTTGTGCTGCTCGCTCTTGGTCTAGCGGCGGGTTCAAAGACAAGAATTTTCAAGAATGCCTGTTCAAACATGATGTTGCTGACTAACATGACAAAAACTCGTATCATCTGAGTCTGCTGGATAAAACTCTTAACTTTGCTCAAGGTATGTTTCTTCGTGTGCCCCTCGAATGTAGCACCTTTCTGCTGAAAACCATGTGCATCAGCTTTTTCTTCAAATAATTGCACAGGGTAGGAGCTTCCAGATTTGAAGATCTGTTCGCAAAATTTAGATTTCTTTCACAACTCTTTGCTTATCTGACTTACCTGTTCTTCACTGGATTGAGTTGTCCTGCAGACAGTAGAACGTTTTGGAATAAAGTTGGCAACTTCAATGTTGTTAATTATCTCGCATGAACAAATCTTATTCAAACACCTTTGGTATGTTTCTTTCCTTTAAAGCCAAAGTGAAACTTGCCAGAAAGTGAGTAGACTTGACGTTTAAATCAAGAAATGGCGTACTGAGATCGAACTGACTTCACACGAAAAGATCGCTTTGCGAAAGAGTTGAATCCAAAATCCTTTGGTATTGAAAATCATGAAAAGCATCTCTTTCTTCATTACTTCTGGCAGCTTGTGAAGCATATCAAAGAGTTCTTGGATAAGAAGATGTATGTTTCTAGAAAGAGCTTCATCACAATTAGGATCGATTTCTCCATAGTCCTACCATAATCATTGTCAACCGTCAAAAAATGTTTTGCTACAAAACGTACATAATTTGATTCATCACCACCTTTCATTTCCCTTTTCATCAAAGTGTTATGATCAAAATCAAAAGTGAAGGAAAGAAAATACCTTTGTAAAACAGACTCTGTGCTTTCCGAGCTTTGAATCATTTCCGTTTGACCGATTTGGTTCCGTGCGTGATAAACAGCAAGATAAGAACTTTTCTTTTCCTTGCTACCATGATTGTGCAACAGCATCCCAACAGATTGCTTAGCATAATCCATGCCTTTTGTGACTACTTTGATTCTTGGAATTTTTGTTTCCACTTTCAGAGCTAAGCTAACGTCAAAAGCAAGATGTTGTTTGGTGCCACATTTCTCCGAAGTGTCTTGCCTCTCACAGACTTTGCTTTGTCCCAATCTCCTTCCAACCCCTTTCTTTTGAGGCTGTGCAATAACTTTACTCTGATTGATCGGTCTCATCAGCGCATAGCTTTTGCCACTCTTGTCCTTCCTCCCATTCTCTGCTGCTTCGCCGGTTTTGTCGGCACCTCGCATGCCACAAACTTTTTTTGCGCGCGCTTCCTTTCGGCGTAGGGGTCGGGTCATTTACAAGGTCAAAGGGAGGGGTGCAATTGAAACGACTAGGTACCACACCTTTTACCTATCAAATCAAGGGTACCGGGGGGGTACTCGTGTTACTACCTTCCCTTGCTGCACCATGGCCCTCCTTTGACTTCTACCCTCGTCAATCGCCTCCTCCTCGCTCTCCTCCTCCTCCTCTCTCTCGTCTCTCC